TGAGGTCCAGGAGGACTTCATGGCCCGGATGCCCTTGGCAGATGCGCGCCGCGAGTTCGGGCCCCGTCTGCGCGCGGCGGCGTTGGCAGCGCTGGAAAAAGGAATCGACTCGATCCGCTTGGTGCACGATGAGACGCACGGCGTGGGGACCAATCCCAACATCAAGCCTAGGGACAAAGTGCGCCAGGCATCGACGAACTCCGCTGGATCCTCGGCCGCTCCAGGGCTGAAGGCTTGCCTCTGATGACCTTGAAGGCTGACGTGAGGGGGGCGCACCGGCGGGTCCGAATGGCGAGGCGGGATTGAGGTTGCCAGCCACGCGCGCTTCCCAACGACCAAGACCACGTTTATCTCAACGCCGTGGGAACCTTTGGGATCGCCGGTTACTGGCGGGCGAGGCTCGCCAGCGCCATGTCCAGGTCCGTGTTTGGCTTCGTCGGGAAGGCGGAGTTCTGGCAGCTGCTCTTCGCCGACGACTTCCTGCGGCTATTTTCGGGCCGCTGGTTTCACGAGGACGCCGTCATAGCGTTGCTATGGTTCCTAGTCGTAGGAACGCCCTTCTCCTGGAAGAAGGCCCGAGGAGGTACCTTCATCGAGTGGGTTGGTGCCAGATAGATTTGTCGCACTGGTCATTGGGGACCTCGGCCAAGAGAGTCGAATGGGTCTGGCGCCGGATCCATGAGATTTTGTTCGAGGGGCAGATGCTCACGAGCGGTTTCGGCGAGGCGCTCGGCAGGCTGTCGTTCGCAGTGCAAGCGTTGCCTGGTTATCGCCCGCTGTTGGCGCCGCTCTGCTCCTGGGCGGCGGCGGTCAGGCTCGTGCTGGAGTTCTTCGCGGACCGCCTGCCGGCAGACGGGGGCGTGCGGCCTTGCTGGTCCGGGTGCAAGCCGCCCCAGAGGGCCGTGGAGCGGTTCCGCTCGGGCGCGAAGGCCGAGGGCGACGACATCGGCATCGGTGGCTGGGACTGCCCGGGCGGAGTGGATCCAGCTGACGCGAGATGGCCCCACGTGGAGCTCACGCGGGCCAGCGCGCCGTGGCGTTCAGAGCTGGGGAGCCCCTCAGGGCCATAGCGGCCCTTGAGATGCACGGCACACTCGTATCGTGCATGGTTTTCTTGCCAGAGGCCTCCCTGCAGGACGATGCGGGCAGGCTGATGCTGTCGTGAACTGCCGACAACAGGGACAACAGCTACGCGGTGCAGCGGTTCTTCACGACGAAGTTCCCTTTGTGCGCCTTCGCGATGGGATTGGCGGCGCAATTGCAGCGCTGGCAGGCGGGACTTCACCCCGATTGGACTCCGCGGGGGCAGAACGGCGAACGGGACGAGCTGTCGGAGGGGGTCTTCGGAGGTTCACGGAGAGCAAACGGATCATCGTAGACCCCACGGCTTTGGAGTTCGTGCTGCTTCCGAGGGTCCTAGAGACGGGGGCCACACTGCTCGATGTTGTGAAGGAGCAGCGTGGACGGCAGAAGAAGGGAGACCGACCCTTGGCAGGTGGTGGGGCAGCGCCGCGTGGGACGCACAGGAGCAGCACGGCGGGCGAACACGCCTAGCGTCCGTGGCCCCTTCGGATGGTTAGTTTGGCCAGCCCCAGCCACGGGGTACCCGGTGTGGCCGGTGGGGTAGCAACCGAAAGGCTTAGGTGGCCCGGCGCTCTAGTGGGCCATGGGCCCGGGGCTGCCAGCGGGCAGTCGCCGACCTAAGATCCACCCTCCCTCAGAGGCTCCGGAGAGCGACGCTGGGGTGGCCTCTGGCGAGGGCCTCCCGTAGCGCGAGGGACGCGCGGTCGACCCCCATGCCGGAAGGATGGCACCAGGTAGCGCAGGGCTCGCAGCACGCGCCCTTCGATTCATAAAGGCGCCCGCTGGGAGGGAGGAGACGGGGTGGGAGGGCGGGACAACACGGCAACGCAGATGCTCGTCGCAGCAGCATTCGTGCGTACACGAAGGGTATCGGAGTGCACAGCGCATGTCTCCATAACCGTTCGGCTCAAGTTGAACCCGCCCCCCCCCTCCCTTGTTCAATTAGTTGTTGTAAGTTCAGGAGGGGAAGAAACACACAGACACAATTAATCGTCGACTTCCCAGAAAATATTGGAAAATATGGGAAGTGGGGGGGAAGACAGAAACTGAGAAAATATGGGAAATATGGGGCATCCTGTTCATTGTGTATTTATTTGTGTGTCCCAGGGCCCATTCATAAGTATTTATCCGGATAAGATCTCTGGATTTCCAGCGGACGAAGGAGTCAGCACGCGCCATTCGATTAAGAAAGGCGCCCGCCGGGTGGAAAGGGATGGGGGCGGGAGGGCGGGGGACAGCACAGCAGCGCAGATACAGTCGGGGCCCTGAAGAAGGAATCCTTTTCGTTGGGGAGGGGCTCCGCGTTCCTTAAGTGTTTCACAGCTTGCCTCAGGCTTCCCTTATGTTTTTCGACAGGAAACCGAAGATTAACTTATTGAAAAAAGGGGCCCCGTTCCTCATTTAGGGTTCCTTAGGTCGACGCCCCGACTGCACACGCACCATATCTGGGCCACAGCTGCGATGAGCTGCGAGGAGCCGCTGCGCTCCTGCAGCTCGCACGAGCACTCGCGCCAGCGAGCGCTTCGCGAGGGCGCGCCTGTGCCAAACTGGTTCACTAGAATCAGAGCGTGAATTACTTACCCCGCTTTCGCTTCCAGGCAAAACCAAGCCATACCACGCGCCTCCTCGTCAAGCGGCCTGACCAGTACAGGCTGCAATTTGGCATCGTTTGGTATCTCTTGGAAGCGAGGGTGGTCAAAAGCGAGGCAGGTGTGTTTTCCCCTTATAGAACGTGCACGGACCGCCGTGACAGCGGCCGTCGCGGGGGGCCGACGCGGGTAGGGGGGCCTCGCAGCTGCTTGGCAGTTGCACCCAATGGTCCCTGAGCCTGGACGGCAGCCTGGGTGGAGGAGGAGGGAGGGAGGAGGAAGGGAGGAGGGAGGAGGGAGGAGGGAGGAGGGAGGAGGGAGGAGGAGGAGGAGGAGGAGGAGGAGGAAGCAGAAGGGAGGAGGACGAGGATGAGGACGAGCAGGAGCAGGACAGGAGGGGGGAGATGAGGGAGGCGAAGGAAAGAGTGGAGAGAGGAGGGGGGGGGAGAGAGAAGGGAGGAGGAGGAGACGGGGGAGGGAGGAGAGGAGAAGGGAGGGGGGAGGAGGGAGGAGAGAAAACGAGGAGAGGCGGGATGGAGGGGATGGAGGGGAGGGGGGCGAAGCCTGGGGAGAGGGGGAGAGCGGGTGAAGGCAGGAGGGAGGGAGTGGAAGATGTACACATTGTTCATTCCTAAGTATTCGAAAGTTCTTTGATTTTTTGGGGGGCAAGATCCTTTCATTTCTAATTGTTCTATCCTGGGCCTCTTCCTGGCCACTAGGGGGCCAGGAACAATTAGAAACGAGCAAAATAAGAAATGAGCACGATTAGAAATGAACGACGTGTAGGCAGAGAGTTGTGCCACCGGCGCCTGTAAATCAGGCGAATTTCCCCTTGGGTGCGAGATCCATCATGCGCGTTTGTTGCAAGCTTTGTGGGCACGGCCAGGGTGCCTAGATCATGTCTGGGGAGCATGCACAGGATCAGTAGCACCAGGCGGTCACCATGTTTCGCGCCCTTATCTTGTTAAGGCGATGGGGGGAGAACAGAACAGTACAGTAGTTGGGGAGGGGTTGGAGTTCATGGCAAAGGAGGCAAAGCAGACGAGGATGAGCAAGGGATGAAGTAAAAAGGTGGCGATATAATTTCGATCTGAAAAGGACTTCCGCAGTTCGAAATTAGGCCCATGCCATCTGCGCAGCGTCATCCAGTTTGAGCTGCATGTACGGACTCGTACTCGTCATCCTCCTCTTCTCTCCTTTCTCCCTGTTTGTGATCTGTCCTCCCTGTACTTATCACCCCCTGGTGTGCCTCCATCCCGGCACGGACAGCCCTTCCCCTGTATACAATTGGATTGGTCTGCAGATCCAGTGTTCCTTGCAACCGACCTCTTTTTGGGATCCAAGACACTTTACCGCTTCCGGATCACCAAAGTATGCAAGTTAGCTCATGTGATGTTCATTTACGTATCGTAAGAAAAGACGTTCACACGATGGAAACCAGACCCAGACGAGGGAGAATCGGAATTCGCGAGATCATCGTACGGCCGTACTTGGATCCAAAAGGGTACAAGGCGTTTGTTTGCGATCGCGCCCCTGAAGCAAGAAAATTCTTATGTTGACGAAGATATGTGCGTACAGTGTTTCAGCGACTGCAGTGGCGAAAGCATTCGGAAAGTGACGGCCGACGGCCGATGCAGACAAGCGTGCTACTGCAGGCAGAATAAATAGCACATCGGATATATTCAACGCCGTTGTTGGTGACAGTCCTTGCACGCCTACCCCCAAACACGCATGATTGGAAATGACGTGGCAGGTTTTCTCTCTTGCACATCGACATAGCGCTGCGCGCACCTTCTTTGGAGTGTCCGTTGGGCCCACCATGCCATAATATTGAGTTTGCCGTATGTCGCCTCGGTGATTTATTTAGCTTACACGGCCTGCTTGCATGTCATATGAATTGTTGTCTGAGCTGTTTGTCTGGCCGGTGCCTTTCAGCTGCTTCACGCGGCTCGTTTGTTGCAACCAGCAAGGTTGTTTGTGCGCGTCGCACATGAACATGAAGCCTCGCTCGGTGATGTCCACGTTGGGTGTTTTGGTTTCAATGCGCCCTTTGGCTTGCAAGAGCTGCGCAAGCTTGTGGCCCCGCTGCGCTCTTCGACAATCGTTCAGTATACTCCGAAGCCGCAGTGATACTGAGCTACCCCCGCTGGGAAGAAGGGGAGCCGAAAGAGGGAGATGGGGATTGGATAGGGGGAAGGACAAACAGATAACTATCCATACACATGTGTGTGTGTGCCTCATCTTGTTCGGCATGATGTCTGTGTCGGCCAGCATGTCTGTACAGTCATGTTTCCATGGACTCGCATGATTTGTGGTTATGATGCCGAGGCCAGCCTCGTCGAGCGCGAGCAGAGCGTGTCGCAGAGGGAACAGGAACGATGCCCCGTGGGATGCATTGCTGCGCCGCCATTCGCGCTGCCGCGTCTCGCAGACCAAGTCGTGGGCGCAACAGGGCGGCAACACTGCGCCAAAATGGTGCCCTTGCGTTTTGTTAAGACGACAGGTGGATCGCACTATGGCATCGGGTTGATGGAGCCTCTGGTGGTGAGAAAAATCTAGCTTTCGAAAGTGGCCTATTTTCCTCTAGGGCTCTTGGTGACATCCCTGGGGCAGGCATCGTGTACGAAGGAACGGCCGAGACGCCGCAGCAAACCCCACCTTGGGCTCAGGAGGAGCTCTAGTTTTAGAGCCGTTCCCTAGATCTAGGTCGGGAAACCTCTTCGTGGCCGAGGTTCGCGGTGACCAGTAAAATCCCTCCGATCCTCGCCGAGCGTCCCATATGGCAGCGCGGTGACTGTAAGGAACCTGGAGCCTCGGACCAGGCCTCTGTGAATGCCGGGAAGCGCCCCTGCGGCGCGGACCGCTGGCGTGTCTTGGCAGGAATCAGTTCCAGGAGAGACCAAAGCTCGTGCGGGGCCGCGCCGCATCTTGCCCGGGTCACGGCGCAGTTCTTGTTGGGCTTCTGCAGTGGCAACAGCTTGTAACAAGTTTGCCTTGGCAAGAACGGGCAGCGCCGCTGTTGATTCTCGTTTGCAGTGGTGGACGTTCGGGGGCTATTTAGACAAGATCTTCGTGCCCCCCGCCCCGACAAGGAACCCAGAGCCTCGAGGCGTCGATCGGGCGAGCCAGGCCTAACGAGGCCTAACGAACCCCCGTATTGAGACGACTTACCCGCTTGCATTGTTGACGCCCCCTGCGACGAAGGATCCGCATTCGCGCGGATATGATGGAAGGTGAGGCTCTGCGCAAAGCCAGTACGGGCGACTCCTGTGATATCTCGGGGCCCCTCCAGAGCCATCTGAGTGAGGGCATTGTTGGACTCGTTGTGGAAGCCGTGGGGGGGAACGGGGGGGTCCTCAGAAGTCATGAGACGCCTCGGGACCCTCTCGGAGCTTCTGGGGCACTAGCGAGGCTCCTGGAGCAATGTTGAGATCATGTTGGGGTGCTGGGGGCCGTATGGGATTATCTTGGATGCCTGCATATTGGGGGGTGGTTCTTCTCCTCCTCCTCCTCCTCCTCCTCCTCCTCCTCCTCCTCCTCCTCCTCGTTTCCTCCCGCAGGGTGCATCCCTTCTCTCGGCCAGGTTCCCGCGGGGCCTCCTCGGGCACCCGTGCTGCCGCGCCTCGTGCCTGCTCGGTGCTGCCGCTTCCCGTGGTCGTCCCGGCACGGGTGCCTGCCCCTGGGGCCCAGCGAGGCGCGAGGGTGCCCGCCCGACTTGTCTGGCGGGTGCTCTCTTGTCCGAGAGGACGCGTTCTCCTCCTCCTCCTCCTCCTCCTCCTCCTCCTCCTCCTCCTCCTCCTCCTCCTCCCCCTCCTCCTCCTCCTCAGCTTCCTCCTTCTCCTCCTCCTCCGCCTCCTCCCCCCCCCGGATGCTCTCGTGTCTGACTTGTCTTGAGAGGACGCGTCCGCCACCGACGCGTTCTCTCGTGTCGGTGGCCCCGGTGAGGTTGGGGAAGGGGGGTGCCGAACCGCGCCCAGAGTCCAGCAGGGCACGAGGGTGCCAGCCCGACTTGCCTGGCGGATGCTCCAGAGAGGCCAGGGCCTGGGACGCGTCGGCCACCGACACGTTCTCTCGTGTCGGTGGCCCTGGTGAGGTTGGGGAAGGGGGTGCCGAACCGCGCCCAGAGTCCAGCCGGGCACGAGGGTGCCAGCCCGACTTGTCTGGCGGATGCTCAAGAGAGGCCAGGGCCTGGGACGCGTCCGCCACCGACACGTTCTCTCGTGTCGGTGGCCCTGGTGAGGTCGGGGAAGGGGGTGCCGAACCGCGCCCAGAGTCCAGCAGGGCACGAGGGTGCCAGCCCGACTTGTCTGGCGGATGCTCCAGAGAGGCCAGGGCCTGGGACGCGTCCGCCACCGACACGTTCTCTCGTGTCGGTGGCCCTGGTGAGGTTGGGGAAGGGGGTGCCGAACCGCGCCCAGAGTCCAGCCGGGCACGAGGGTGCCAGCCCGACTTGTCTGGCGGATGCTCCAGAGAGGCCAGGGCCTGGGACGCGTCCGCCACCGACACGTTCTCTCGTGTCGGTGGCCCTGGTGAGGTCGGGGAAGGGGGTGCCGAACCGCGCCCAGAGTCCAGCAGGGCACGAGGGTGCAAGCCCGACTTGTCTGGCTGATTGATACTTGGGGGGGGCACGATGCGCTGTTGAACTGGTACGTCCCTTCTCTCGGCTAGGTTCCAGCAGGGCCTCTCCAGGCCCTCATGCTGACGCGCGCCTCCTCCTCCTCCTCCTCCTCCTCCTCCTCCTCCTCCTCCTCCTCGTCTTCTTCATCTTCATCCTCATCGTCGTCATCATCATCAACATCATCATCATCAACGTCATCATCATCATAATCATCATCACCACCAGCATCATCATCACCATCATCATTCTCCTCCTGGGGATCTCTTGGGCCCTTTAGTGTGGCCTCTTGGGGCACTCCTGAAAAATATTGGAGCCATGTGGCGGGCTTCCCTGGGGCATCCCAAGCCTCCCTGGAGCAACCCCAGACAGAAGGCACCCTCAATTTTGCAGTGTTTTCGGAGCCCACCTCTTGGGGGCGTCTTGGAGCTTGCCTCCGGAGTTCTTGACGCTTTCTTGGCCCATCGATGATTACTCGGCCAGTATTGTGCAGCCTTCACATCTTGAGGTCTCACCCGCAGCTTCTTCGAACCCGTTGGGGCCCTCCTTGGACTTCTAACTTGCCCTCTAGGGGGGTTCTTGAGGCAATACAGTGAAGACACTGAAATCAGGACCACTCTGGTTTCAGGAGAGGCTCTGATTTTTGGACCGCTCCCTGCATCCAGGTCGGGAAACCTCTTCGTGGCTGAGGCTAGCCGTGGCCAGAGCAGCGCGTTCGCTCACTCAGCGTTCCCACTAGTAGCGCGAGGACTGCATCAGAGGCTCGTCGGGCCGTGCCGACGTGTCTGGCTCAAGGTTAGCCTCCATGCGTATACCGTACCCTCCTTAGTTGTCCTGATACGCCCGTGTTGAAACGCAACATGTGCCGTTTTCACACAAAAAAACGTCAGTTGAAACGCGTTGCGTTTTGGCTCGGCACGTGTTGGTCCACGTGTTGGCGAACGTATCGCGCCAGACCTACGCTTTCAGTATACATGATGAGCTCCGTGTCAACTCGCTGCGTGTTGCGTGTTGCGTATCGGGGCAGTTGAGGTTCCCTTCCTGACCCTCCCTAGACCCGCGCGAAGGCACTGACCCTCGCCATGGTGGAGGCGCGCGTGGCCATCCCAGCGCCTCTGAGCGGCGGGTTGCTGGTGCTGCTCGCGCTGGCGGGCGGCGACGCGCGCTCGCTGAGGCAGACGCAGACGTCGGCAAGGCTTCGGGGGCCCCCAGACGATGTGGCAACCACACCGCGTGGTGAGCCAGCGCAGTCTAGGCGCTGAGAGAAGGACCGCATTGGCCCCAGGAGGGGCTCGGGTTCTCGGGCCGTTCCTTACAGTCGGGGCCCTGAAGAAGGAACCCTTTTCGTTGGGGAGGGGCTCCGTGTTCCTTAATTATTCCACACCTTGCCTGCGGTTTTCCTTGAGTTGTCGAGGAGAAGTCGAAGTTCAATTTATGGAAAAAAAGGGGCCTCGTTCCTTATTTAGGGTTCCTTAGGTCAACGCCTCGACTGTAGAGCCATGTCGTGGAACCTGTTTGTGGGGCCCAGGCCCGCCGTGGCCAGAAAAGCCCCTGCGTTCCCTGCTTCGCGCTGTGCTGCATGGTGGCACGATGACTGTAGGGATTCGGGGTCACCGCAAGGTCTTGAGACTCGGGTCGTTCACCGAGAGTGTCTCGAACGACTGGGACCTCCAGGGTCCCAAAGCCGCGTGGTGGCGGACAGTACGGTGAGTTCCTTCGGGGCTTCGAGCTCAGCGCGCGGTCTGTCACCACACGGTTTTGAAAACCCCACAGGTTGGCCTACAGCGACACCAACTACCAGTGCATGGCGGACCCCGAGTTCGAGGACAAGTGCGTGCCGAAGTGGCAGGAGTCCTGCCGCAGAGAGTACAACCGCAGCGAGCACATGCGCCGCAAGCTGTGCGAGGGGGAGTTGTCGAGGAACTACGTCAAGATACGCACCCTCGTGCCGCCGAGCGACATCCTGGACCAGTGGAAGTGGGAGTTCGAGCGGCGGCAGTTCGACGACGGCTTCTTCCGCAGCCAGGTGCCCAAATTCACAGACACGGGCTTCAAGCTGGTGCGACTACCAGAGCACCTGCACGAGGGCATGTTGGCGAGGTACAACGCGAGACGCAACACATCGCGGCCGGAGGCAGGCCAGCCGGTTTTCGGCTTCCACTGCAACACGGGCCACGACAACGACGATTGGGTGGTTGACATGCCGCATGACGAGTTGTTCCGCCAGGTGCGAGAGTGGATCCGTCTCCAGCTCTCGGAGTGGACCGGTCAAAACGTCAATGAGCAGACCTCCATATACGGCGCTCGCGAATACCACCGCGGCAGCATCTGCGGAATGCACACGGACAACACGGAGACGCACGCTTTCAGCGCCATCTACCAGCTCGACCAGCAGGGCATGGACGAGCCGTGGCCACTGCACTACGTCACCCACGCAGGGGAGGAAGGCCGGGCCCTCATGCAGGCCGGCCATGTGATGCTGTACGAGAGCGCATCTGGCCTCCACGGTCGCAAGGACCCCCTGATGGGCGACGAGTTCACGAACATCTTCTTCCACTTCCGCTCGCCCGACTGGCTGCCAGCAATCCAGAGGATCCTCGGAGAGGACAACTACTGGGAGCAGCGCCGCCGCTTCGAGGCGCACCACCGCCACCTCACCAGCCTCGAGGACGCGCCGCCCAAGGAGCGGCTATGGAGGGCGTCCGACCAGTGCATCCCCGAGAGGAGCCGCCGCGATCCGCTGCTGAGCGAGGGCGGCTTCATGTCGACGCCGCCGGACCCGACACGCCTTTAGGCACCCAAGAGGGCGATGGTGTCGCAGGCCTCGAGATTGACACCAACACCAATTTCGGCGGTGTGCCTCCACCGAAGGAAGGAGATCCCGATCTCGGCGGTGGTGGTGATATTCCGGCTTCCAAGGTGGCCGAACTATTACCACCAGCACCGAAAATCTAGGATCACCTTCCCCCTGTGGAGGCCACCCCCTGTCTTGGTGTTGGTGCCAATTCCGAGGCCTCCGATGGTGGCTGTGGGCGGGTCGGCCACGACGCACACCGCCGCCTAGAGTCGCGACCAGGGCACAAAAAGGCCGATCCAAGCACGCAGGGCACTGAGCAGGGACAATGTTAGGGGGGATAATCAGCCCACGAGGGGACGCAGTGCCGATAGGAGCCCGATAGCCCACCCCCACCGAGGAACGTGTGGATGCGCTCTCTGGGGCCGATCGCTGATCCATCGGCGCTGCATCGTCGAGCCCAGCTCGAGGTGTCTCTGCCCGAGCCGGTCTCCCCCGCAGACGTTCCTCTTCAAGTGATTGGGCCCGCAGAGCGGGAGTCGCACGCTCCTCCTCCCCCTCCTCCCCCTCCTCCCCCTCCTCCCCCTCCTCCTCCTCCTCCACCCCCTCCTCCCCTCCCCTCCCCTCCCCTTCCCTCCCCTCCCCTTCCCTCCCCTCCCCTCCGAGGCCCCGAGGGAGAAGTTGTGGCACATTAGTATCGCAGCCAGCGAGTGGTCGGGGGCACGGCCTCGGTGCGCGCACGTGCGGGCATGCCTTCAGGCCCTCTTGAGGCCGTTCGGAGGGGCCTCTTGGGCACTTACAACGACGCGAAGATCGGGACAAAATCGGATCGGGATAACTCGAAATCTCTGAGAATCGGCGGGTTTGGAGGATGTATTGGGCGCCGCGGCCGCTCCAGAGCGTTCTGGAACGCTCTGAGAGCGCTCCGGAACGCTCTGGAGCGATTTATCCCGATCCTAGCCCTGTTTTAGCACTCTTGGGGGGTCGCTCATGGGGTCGTGCTCCTGGGGCCGTCTGGGTGCGTTTCGGGAGCCGTGTTGGGGCGGTCTCAGGCCGTCCTGGGGCTATCTTGGATGCCAGTTGGGAGCCATCTTGGGGGCTGTCTGGGCAGTCTTCGAATCTCGTCGAAGCCTGTCGGATCCTCTCGGAGGCATCTGGAGCTCGTTTTGGAACTACCTGAAGCACGAAAACACTGAAAAAACAAAACGCATCAAAACACTGAGGTGATTGACATGTTTCGCCTCGCAGGGGCCTGCAGCGGGAAGCCCCCTTTCAACGCTGCTGCCTTTGATGAGTTTGACTCGCAGCATAAATGCTCGACTCTGCAGGGGCGCTCATATGTTAGGACTCTGCTGCAGCCCAAAACGGCGTTGGCACAACAAACATCTTTCTGTGAACGCAATGCCGTTGGATGGGGTCCAAAGGCAGCTGCTGGTCATCAGCAGCGGCAGCAGCAGCAGCAGTAACCTCATCATCATCATCATCATCATCATCATCATCATCATCATCATCATCATCATCATCATCATCATCATCATCATCATCATCATCATCATCATCATCATCATAGTCAGATGTTTGTATCGTCCTGGTCTGATGCTGATCCGTTCCATGGCCGTTCTTGCTCCGCAACAATTCAAGCGCAAACAGAGAAAGCGGCCGCTTCATGCCTCTGTCCTCCGTGGCTGGTGGCCTCGCCCGCGTCGGCGCCTGGATTGTCTCCGACAAGGCTTGGGGCCTCGTGGAGAGCACCCTCGGCAACGCGACCGAGTGCGCGGTCGCGTACGGGCTCGTCGGCTCGCTGAAGTGGGGAGCGGCCCTGCTCTCCATCGCGTCCTTCTTCCTCGGCGTCTTCGTCGGACGCTATGCCGTTCCAAGTTCGAGCAGGGCAGCGGTTCGATATCCAGTGGCGCGGCGGCGAGAGCATGCAGGCCCGCATCGCGATCGCGCCGTGCACGCCGACCGACTATCAGGAAGTGACGAGTCTGGATCCGAGCGAGAAGGCCGAGGAGGACGGGAGGTTGTGGTATATGGCGACGCCCGACGGAGACGTCTACCCGCACGAGCTGACGGCCCAGGCATTGCGTATCATCGTGCCGTACGATATGAGGGATCGGAGGCAGCTGGTCAACCGAGAGGGGGCCAACCCCGCGGGCGTCGGCACGTACGGCAGGGACTGGGTGATGAGCCCCGCGGCCTTCGCGCTCCAGCTGCGCTTCGTGTTGGGGCAGTCGCTCGACGAGGTGCTGGAGACGGCGGCGGCGGCGGGTGGAGCCCCCGAGGAGCCCGAGGCGGAGGCGAGGCCAGCGGCGGCGAGAGCGCCTTCAGGATCGGCCTTGGCCTCGGCGGAGATTCCGACTGAGTGGGGCTCTGGCCGCGGGCGCCTCCCAGACCCTTCGCCGTCGCGTTGGCGATGCATCGCCTCGAGCGACGGCGGGGGGAAGGGCTTGCTGCCCGACGAGGACCTGGACGCCTTCGTGATCGCGGCGGGGTTCGGCATGGCGATGAAGGGGGGCCGCACGATGCTGGTGTGGGCTCTTCCTCCCGACGGCGGGGACGAGCTCGACGCGCGCGTCCTCGCGCTGCGGGCCAACGCCACGGAGCGCTTCCTCGGGATGCGTGAGGCCGTGGCGGAGCTCACCGAGACGCAGTGGGAGTTCTTCCCGATCAACGGGCCCCGCACCGTGAAGTGGGTGTGCGAGTTCGTGCGCGAGAATGACGTCACCTTCAGGTCTCGGCACGCCAAGTTCAAAGCCGAGACGGGGCTGTCGTCGTCGGACCAGGACGTCTCCGTCCACGAGCTCTGCTGCCGCATCATGCATCTGCTGCTGACCTACGACCAGCTCAATGCCAGCGAGTTGTCGTGTGCAGAACTGGTGTGTCGTCGGCTCCAGATGGCCGAGTACCGCCATCGCGAGAGGGTTCTCACGACCTCTCGAGGTGACGAGCTGCTCGAGGACTCGCACTTGTACCTCGGGACGGGCGAGACCCGCGGGTTGGTCTGCATCTCGCCGAAGCTGCTCACGTTCGTGACGGATGAGCTCCACAAGGAGAGCCTCGTTCTCAAGGAGCGGCGGAAGCTGAAGGAGGAGCGGATGGCCTCGCGGGGCGATGACGGACACGGCGGCGGTGGCGGCGGTGACGGCAAGGCGCGCCTCTCAGGGATGCAGAGCACCGTTGATCGCCAGAAGTCGGAGATCGAGAAGCTGAAGAAGCAGCTGGCGGCTGCACCCAGGGCGGACCCCAAGGGAAAGGGCCGTGGAGGTGCTACCGCTGGCGGGGAGGGGGGCTGACGCTCCCTTCAACTTCACGATCATGGTGGTCCAGCGGGACGTCCTCCCGATCCCGCTGGACCTTGCGACTGCGCACTTCGAGCGGCGCAACCACAATGCATGTTTTTCAAATTCCCGAAGTCGGCGGAGCCGGGGCCGCCAGCAGCTGGCCGTCGAGCTGTGGACCTGCGAGGTCGTCGCGGCGCTCAATTTTCTCAACGGGCGCCTGGGCGGCGACGGGTTCGACAAGTTATCGGCGGCGCAGCTCACTGGCATCGAGTCGCTCTACGACCACCTGCTGGAGTTCGGGCCTCCCGATGTCAGTCCCACGGCGGCTTGCACTGAGCTGCGTGGTTGTTCTCCTGGGTACGACATGTCCCCAGCGAAGGCGGTTCTGTTCACCGAAGGGAGCGTGGCGGTGCCTTCGGACTCCAGGAAGTGCGAGCCCGCCTACCTGTTGTCGGAGTCCGTGCGCGACTTGTGGCAGGACTGGGAGAAGCATCTCTTGCGCCCTCGTAAGGAGTGGCTTGCTAATGTACCACCTCACTTCGACGCCAGGTTGAAGAGCTCGCCGAAGCTCTACGCCAGCTTTTTGCACGACTTGTTCAATGCGGGCATGATCGAATTCACCAGCGAGCGCAAGCACACGCTCGCGCCGTTCTTCGTCGCCAAGCGGGACGGGAGCGGCCAGCAGCGGATGGTTCTGGACACCCGGCGTGTCAATCGTATGTTTTATGACCCCGACGTCGCCGAGCTGCCGACGGCAGGCAGCTGGCAGAGCCTGCGGCTCGGGGCCGACAGCAGCCTCTTCCTCGGTCAGTGCGACATCGAGGCAGCCTTCTATCGGTTCCTTGCGCCGCCTGGTCTGAGCGAGCTGATGATTCTTCCGAGTATCGATCGCGGTGCTCTCGCCAATGTGCTGCCGAGTGGCACTCTCGACGGCATCGTCGGTCGCAGGTGTTCGCCTTGTCTGAAGGTGCTGCCCATGGGCTGGAACTGGAGCCTGTTCTTCTGCCAGCACGCCGTCGAGGGTATGCTGAGGACCGTCGGCATCGGCGATCACAGACTCGTCCACGAGAGGAAGGTGATTCCCGACCTCGAGGGCGAGACCGTCGCCGCCGCCTACGTCGACGGAGTCGCCGTGATCGGTTCCAAGTACGACGCGGTCGTCTCGCAGCTGGAGACGGTGCACGGCGCGTTCAACGCGGCGGGCCTCCAGTGCAAGGAGATGGAGCCGCCGAGCGATCACCAGAAGTTCACAGGTCTGATCTTCGATAGAGAGTCTGGGAGGATATCGCTGGGGCGGTCGCGGATGTGGAAGATCCGCCAGGCGTTGCTGTGCCAGGCGTCCCAGCGCTACGCCACGGGAAAGGAGCTGGCCAGCCTGGTCGGGCACTTCAACTGGGCGGCCCTTCTTCGCCGACCACTCCTGTGCATCTTCCAGTCGACGTATCGGTTCATCAAGAAGGCGGGTGACAGCCGCTGGAGGATATGGCCCGAGGTGATTCGTGAGCTGCGAGTCGCCGCCGCTCTCGTGCCCTTCGCCTACTACGACGCGAAGCGGCCCGTGGACTCGACGGTCTACTCCACCGACGCTAGCACGGGCGACCTCGACCCTGCGGGCAGCTTGCACGGCGGCTACGGGGTCACCAAGCGGGAGCTCAGCCAGCAGCTGGTGTTGGAGACAGCTCGGGTTCGCGAGCGGTGGCGCTACCACGTGGAGGGAGCCCTGCACGCTCGGGAGTTCGCCTTCGCCGCCCGCGACACCTCGGGGGCTCCGTCCGACGGGATGTCTTTCGCCACTGTGGACTCGGACGTCGTCTTCCCGATGGAGACCTGGAGGAACGTGACCTTCGGCCGCTGGTGCCGCGAGGAGAACATCCTGAGGCTCGAGGGGCGTGCCCTCGCGCTCGGCGTGCGCCACAAGATGCGGGCCTTGCGGTCTCGGGGTCATCTTCACCTCATGCTTAATGATAACCTTTCTTTGGTACTGGGAGTGGAAAAAGGTCGTTCCGCATCCCCTCTGATCAACCAGACCTGCAGAGAGTTGTGCAGCTACAGCATTATTCACGATATGTCCGTAGCCGTGAGATGGCTACCTTCAGAGTGGAACACTTCAGACAAAGGCTCACGCACCGTGACGGGCCAGCCGACTCCCTTTGCAGCCGACCCGCGGAATGTTGGCACGGCCTGGGCTAGCCTCGCTCGGGCGGCCGCTGACGAGAAGGCTCGGCGCCTCCACTACGACGATCCGATCGGCCTGCTCCGCCGTCGGCGACACGACTTATGCGACCCCGAGGAGGAGGCCGCCGCCGCCACCACGACCGCAGCGAGCTCGCGCTCCTCTGAAGGCGGGGAAGACCAAGACGCCCCGTCCGAGCGTGAAGCCTGGAGCTCTGCCTCCAGCTCGGTCGAAGGCGGCGGGTCGCGTCGAGTTGGCACGCCAGAAGGCCAATCGGGCGAAGCTCAGAGCCGCGAAGTTCGGCGGAGCCAACTGCGACCCTCGGCATGGGCTGACCTTCTTGCAGAGGCACAAGGTGCGGGAGGCCACCATCCGCAGCTTCGACAACCACGTGACCAGCTTCCTGGCCTGGGCCGCCGTGCCGTCGCTGGACGACATCACGGCGGACCGCCTGGACGCCCTCCTGGCGGCCTACTTGGACAAGCTGTTCTGGGACGGGGAGCTGGCGGAGACGGGCTCGCGGCTGCTGGCGCCCGTGCAATACAGGCTGCCGCGCGTGCCGCGGCCGAAGCACGGCGGCCTTCCGCTGGCGCGGGCCGCGCTCTCTGGCTTTCGAGTGCACTCGAGGAGCACTCCGATGACGCCCGTCGGGAAGCCGATCGTGTGGGCGATGATCGGGATCGCCGCGCTCGAGGGGGACTTCGAGTGGGCGGGGGCGGTCGCGCTCGCGTGGGACGCGATGATCCGCCTCCCGAGCGACCTCGTCGGCATGACGGTCGACACGCTGGTGGGCCCAGGCCGCGGCGCGGAGCCCCGCTGGGCGCTGTTGCTGTACCCGATCGAGGGATCGGCCTGCAGCAAGTCGCTCGCGCAGGACGAGGGCGTGCTGCTGCGGAGCGCGGCCTGGCGTGGCGGCGGCGGGAGCTTCCTGAAGCTGCTCCGCGCGGCGCGGCCCGCTGGGTCGCCCCTGTGGTCGTTCAGCGCAGCGACCTTCGGCGCCGAGTTCCGACGTCGGCTGTCGCTGGTCCCGGGCGCGCCCGACATGATCCCGCACCAGCTGCGGCACTCCGCGGCGTCGCACTTCACGGCGGTGGAGGGCATGCCTCTGGCCGAGCTGCAAGCGCGTCTACGCCACACGAGCGCGCAGAGCACGGCTCGGTACTCGCGGCACGTGCGCTACCTCGCGGAGCTCGAGAAGGTCGACGTCGAGGTCTCGGAGTGGGCCCAGGAGGTCGAGGACAGCATCGGCCAGATCCTCGGCCAGCAGCGGCGACCGCGGCGCCCTCGGTTCCTCAGGACGGAGGCGCTGGCGTCGGGCAGGCCTTGCAAGACCTTGCCCGCGCGTGCCGCGCTGCCGCTGGCCAGACCTTCCTCGAAGTCGGCTTCGGGACGGGCGAGATCGCGCGGGCCGAGGACGCCCGCATCTCGGGCTGCAGCGCGTGGATAAACGGCTCCCTGCTGGCTACCGCCATCGTATATCGCCGCCTCGTGGGATGGATCTCGTCTCGACGCGTTCGGGGAGTCGTTCTGATTTGGCCCAGGTTCGGTGAGACTGAAGCTAGCAATATTCTAGCCCGTCTTCTTCACAAATGCCTAATTGTAAAGTGTCCTTGCGTTGCTATTTTTCCATCAGCAAGCGCTTCCGCGCACTCCGTCCTCTTTAGACAGCTGCTCACCATTTGTGACGGGAGGCACGCGAGGATCTCCCCGTGCACGTTTGGCTGCCAACGAGCTAACCACGACAACATGTGGGCTCTGGGGTTTTCTTGTGGGTTCCCCGACGAAGTCGGCGGTCCGTGCGTCCACGCTCATGCGACCCCGCCCACCCCCTCGCCTTTTATTCACTTGTCTCGTCCGTGCGCGTCTTGGGTGTGCTCTTGGATCTCCTCTGGAGCCTCGAGGCTTTCAGAAAGTTTCTTCAACATACTCTTTTTTGGCATAAAGCGGCCAGATGCCAGGTAGGGCACAGCAGGGTCGTTGTGAAGCGGTCCGAGAGCCGCCCCGTGTTTCGAAGCTCGAGCTTGCACACAACAGAATCTATTCGCACAGCTTCGCTGTAAAGAATCGTCTGGCCACCAGGGGATCTCAGACCTAGTCAGATGTTTGTATCGTCCTGGTCTGATGCTGATCCGTTCCATGGCCGTTCTTGCTCCGCAACAATTCAAGCGCACCCGCCCTCGTGCCACCCTGCGCTGTAATTAATCCTTCGGGGTCGTTGTGAAGCGGTCCGAGAGCCGCCCCGTGTTTCGAAGCTCGAGCTTGCACACAACAGAATCTATTCGCACAGCTTCGCTGTAAAGAATCGTCTGGCCACCAGGGGATCTCAGACCTCATCATCATCATCATCATCATCATCATCATCATCATCATAACCAGCATCACCATCACCATCACCATCATCAGCATCATCATCAGCAGCAACAACAACATCATTATCATCGTCATCACCATCACCATCTCGGGGGTGGACAGACCTCCTACCCTGACACGCCGATTAAGGAACTTGCCGTTTTCGGTTCGCGAGTGGGCGTCGCGGCCGTCATTTTTGCGGGTTCGGTCCGTCGATTTCGGTCCCAGGGCGTTTTCATTAAAGGGAGGTTTACTAAAGGGAGGTTTGTCCATTGCCGACCATCGTCACCATCATCATCACTAGCAGCAACATCATCATCACCATCATCACCATCGTCATCGTCATCGTCATCATCATCATCATCAGCATCATCATCATCATCATCATCCCCATCCCCATCTCAATCCCCAATCCCCAATCCCCATCCCCATCCCCATCCCGCCTTCCCCGACCTCCTCCTCCCCCATCTCATCCCCCTCCCCCCTCCTCATTCTTCTCCTCCTCTTTCGCTTTTCTCTCCTCGTTCCACTTCTCCTGCTCCTCCACCTCCTCCTCCTCCTCCTCCTCCTCCTCCTCCTCCTCCTCCTCCTCCTCCTCCTTCCCCGCCCTCGCTCTTCCTCCTCCCTCGTCCTCCCTGGGAGGCGAGGGAAGACCAGCGCCGGGGGGGGGGAGCTCGGACCGCCAAGCGACTCGAGCAGGGCTCGACGACGACGGCGCACGATCGACGACGATGGACGAACGACGGATGGCCGACGGCGACGGACGAACGACGACGACGACGACGACGACGACGACCGACGACGACGACGACGACGACGACGACGACGACGACGACGACGACGACGGCGACGGCGACGGCGACGGCGACGGCGACGGCGACGGCGACGGCGACGGCGACGACGGCGACGCGGACGACCACCACGACGACGACGACGACGACGACGCCTACGAAGACGACGACGACGACGACGACGACGACGACGACGACGACGACGCGAACGACGACGGCGACGGCAACGACTCGTACGACGACGAAGCGCGCGGCGCCCGAGCGCAAGCGCATGTGCGCGCAGGAGGCGCGGCAGCGGCTCGCAGAGGACGAGCGGCGGTTGCGGGAGCGCTTGGATAAGGCCCGGCCCGCGCGGGGGTCCGCGCTTCGCCGGCCGGGGCGCCCCGCAGAATCCCGACGAACGAGGACGCTTAGGACGACGACGACGACGACGGCGAAGACAAAGACGACGACGACGAACGCGGGCGACGACGACAAGGACGAAGAAGACGAGGGCGAAGACGACACCGGCTACAACGACGAGGACGTCGACGAGGAGGAGGCAGCGTGCCAGGGGGCGGCCATAGAAGGGGGGGAGTTGGGCGGCTCGGGGGCGTCCAAAGAGGCGTGAGGACTACGGTCAAGACGCTTGAACAAGGACCATATCGGGCTTCACGGAGGGTCCTGGTTTTCTAGGCTATTCCTTAGGCCTGGGTCGGGAGCCCTATTCGCTGCCGAGGCTCGCCGTGGCCAGAAAAACCCATCCGTTCCTCATCTGCCGTTCCTGATGGTAGCACGATGGCCACAGGGGCGGCACATCGGACTTCGGTATTCTTGCAGGCGCGTCAGATAACCATCCGGCCCGCCCCCAGGTGCCCCACGGACGTGTCCGATCCCCCGACGGCCCGAGGGACCCACAGAAGCCCCGGGGCACCTCGGGAGGCCCTCGCGGCTCGACGACGGACGTGCCCAAAGGCAGGATGCGCGAGACGGATGCAGGGGCCTTTGGACGCCCGCTCCGAAGCTTCTCGAGCGGGGCGCGGCCAGCGAGAGCGGCGAAGGATGGACCGAGGAGGCAAGGATGCAAGGGTACCCCGGATTCCATAAGAAAGTAGGGGGGGGGGGGTACATTTGGCGGGGGGGTCTAATTTGAGCTGTCTTGGAGGGTTCGGGGGGGCTGGGCAAAGGGCCGCCCTTTCATGGATAGTCTGGGGGGTCTAAGACTTCTCGTCTGGGAGAGTTGTGACCCCCTCCCTTTTGTTACGAAATCTGGGGTACCCTTGGGAAGGTTGCCCATCCTTTCTGTGCGGGTGGACTGTGCAGCAGGATGCCTTATCGTGTGTGTGTGTGTGTGTGCCTGCGGCAATCAGGGGGGGCGCGGGGAGGCAAGCCCAAGCACTCAGGCCGCCGCTGTGGCATCGCATGGAGAGGCTGGCAGGCCGCGCACCAAAGCTTGATGGGCGTGTTTTCCGCCACCACCACTTCTCCTCCTCCTCCTCCTCCTCCTCCTCCTCCTCCTCCTCCTCTTCCTCCTCCTCCTCCTCCTCCTCCTCCTCCTCCTCCTCCTCCTCCTCCTCATCCTCCTTCTCCTCGTCGTTCTCCTTCTCCTCGCCCTCCTCCTCCTCCCTCCCTCCAACTTATGGTGGTGGTGGTGGTGGAAAACAGGCTCATCAGAGCTCACTCCAGCCTAGGGCCACAATTGCGTGTAGCCGGGCGGGGTTGGCGCGGGGAGGATGGCCTTCTAAGACGGCGGGGTGTTTCTAATGAGACAAGGGGGCCTTCTCAGAAGCCGTCCCGGGTTCAAGGGAGCTTTCGAGACCAGCGAGCATTTCTGCGAAGGCCACGCCTTCTGAGAAGCCCCCCGCCTTCTTAGAGGCTGCCCCGCTCGCGCTACCGTTTGTACGCGCCGCCAAGTCAGGCTCGAGGGCCCAGGATCGAGATGTTGATTGTTTGCCCGTCGTGGGCCTCCGGGAGGCTTCTTGGGCCCGAAGGGGGGGGAGATCGGAGTTCCCCGCCTTCCCTCCATAGACGCAGAGAGGGCTGGTTGTTTCAGCCCCAGGAAGCGTTCCACCCAAGTCTCGGCCTCTTGGAGGCCCTTCCCAGCTGCTCCCGGGGAAGGGGCCCTCACCGACCAAAAGGTGCCCGGCTCCTCCACCCTTGGCAAGGCCCGGGGGTGCGCACGTGACAGCCCCCAGAGGTGGCCCTGGCCTGGCCTCCGCATGCCCCCAAACCCCTCCCCGGGCAGCCCGGAGCGGCGTCGGTCGGACGCGAGGGGGTGATGGGGAAAGAGGGGCCCCGAGATGCGAGGCTCCGAAAAAAAAATGAGGGCCAGTTTGGGCATATTTTCGGCCTCCGGGGCCTTCAGCAGACCCCGGGACCGTCAAAAACGACGCGGGATGAAAAACGGGCCTTGGGGAAGTTGTCCAGACTTCCGCGGGTCCACTCACCGGAAAAATTTGAGCGCTGGATGTTTGGAGGATCCCGTAGCACCCAGCAGTTGCGGATAAGAGAGGGGGGGCGGGCGCGGGGTGGGTCGCGGGTGGGTCGCAGGTGTGTCGCGGGGTATGTCGCAGGGTGGGTCGCGGGTCGGTCGCGGGGTGGGTCGCGGGCGAGGACAACGACAACAACAACAACCACAACAACAATCACAACAACAATCAGAACAATGACAATAACAACAACACGAACAACAACAATCATGTTAAGACTGTTCGTTCTTATCTGCTCGAGTGTCACTTCAACGAGTAGTTTTCCAAACCCTCGATACCCGCCCTCTTCGTCTTCGATCGTGCCCATTTCGGGGGGGATGTCTTTCTTCCCTGCAGGCCAGGCCCCAGCAAGCGGCGGGGCAGCCGCGGACCGTCGGCCTGGCCAGCGGCAGCGCTGATCGGCGGCAACCCGACCCCAAGAGGGACGGACAGGGGACCGACCACGACGACGACGACGACGACGATGACGAGCGAAAGCAAAAGCGAGAGCGAGAGCGAGAGCGACAGCGGAGCCACGGAGGGCAGGAAGGGGGCCACGAAGGGCGACAGCGGGGCCACGAAGGGCATGCGCGCGGGGCCACGAAGGGCGCGAATGAGCGGGGGCCACGAAGGGCAGAGAAAGCAAGGCCATTGAGGGCAACGACGGGGCCACTGAGGGTAGCGACGGGGCCACGTAGGACAGCGAGTGGGCCACAAAGGGCGTCAGCGGGGCCACGAAGGGCATGCGCATGGGGCCAAGAATGGCGCGAACGAGCGGGGGCCGCGAAGGGCAGAGAATGCAGGGCCACTCAGGGCAACGACGGGGCCACTGAGGGTAGCAACGGGGCCACGTAGTACAGCGAGGGGGCCACAAAGGGCGACGGCGGGGCCACGAGCATATGCGCATGGGGCCACGAAGGGCGCGAACGAGCGGGGGCCGCGATGGGCAGACGTATGTTGGGCCGCAGAGGGCAAGGACGGGACCAGTGAAGGCAGTAGCGGGGCCACGAAGGGCAGCGAGGGTGTCACGAAGGGCAGCAGCGGGGTCACAAGGCGCATGCATATGGGGCCACAACGGGCGCGAGCGAGCGGGGGCCACGAAGAGCATAGATGCATGGGGTCACAAGGGGCAGCGAGGGCGCCACAAAGGGCGACAACGGGGCCACAAAGGGCAGCGAAGGGGCCGCGAAGGGGTGCAACGGGCCCACGAGTCCACGAGTCCACGAAAGGCAGCAGCGGGGTCACGAGGCGCATGCATATTGGGCCATGACGGGCGCGAACGGGCGAGGGCCACGAAGAGCATAGATGCATGGGGCCACGAAGGGCAGCGAGGGGCCCACAAAGAGCTGCAACGGGGCCACAAAGGGCAGCGAGGGGA